CCAAGGTACGTTAGCGAATACCATGGTATTTAAATGGTATTCAGTGATAAATGGTACTTTTCTGTAAGTGCAATCATTCAGTAACATAATATATTAAAGTACTGGGGTATTTTTATTTGAGACCAGCGCTGCACCCTGGTATAATTTCTGAAGGAGTTCTAGATGACCACTAGTCATTGACCTGATCATTCAAATCATTCACTTTCATCTAGAGTATACTGTATGTCTGTCGGTGGATGTAATATATCCTAGAATACTGTAAATATCCCATGAGTGCTTTACATACACACGCATGATTAACAAGAGACCCTCACCAGTTGTTCCACCTCTTGCTTGAGTGTTGTATACTCTGCTGATTGCTGGTCAGCCAGTGAATGATTATAAACACGGTTCGTGATTCTGAGATCCATGATAACTGAAGTCAAAGAGTGTGGAGTCGAGGCATCTGTGCTTTCAGCTGAAGAATCCACCGCAGATATATTGACAGAGTTTACACCTGAATCAGATATCAATATAATGATTTAAGGTTTTTATTTCTCCCAAAAATTAAAATGTTGTCACCCTCATGATTAAAGAAGATATTTTGAGGAATACGTTTTTGTCTATACACTGATAGTCACTGGTGTCCAAAACAACAAATACAATTACTTTTTTTTTTTTTTTTCCTCAAAAATATTTTCTTTTGTGCTCCACAGAAGAAAGAAAGTCATACAGGTTTGGAATGACATGAGGGTGAGTAATTGATGACAGAATTTTCATTTTTTAACTAACTATTCCTTAAAAGGTTTTTCATATTTCACATAAATTTTTCATATTTCAATTTTTCATAAATCACATATTTAAAATAAGGTCGCTACTCACCCATGAAAAGTACAATCCATCCAACAACTAAGGTGGTGGAGAATCTTGGTATAATCTTCATCATCTTTGAAGACGAGTAATCCTTCAGCGTGTGATCTCTGCCAGCAGGTTGAGTCAACATCCACTAATGTCCCGGACTCTGGAGAAAGTGGCTCTTTATCAGAGTGAACAGTCTTTTTATTGTTTGAGCACCTGAGCAGGTACCGTGCACAGGTGGGTGGAGCTCCTGCAATTCATTGTCTTTGAGGAATGAAAAAAAATATATGTTTTTTCTAAAACCGCCATTAAAGTTAGAAAAACCACAAATCAGATCTCAGTCATTTCTCTTTGACAGCTATTAGATTAAAATGAGACTTTCGCTCATCTCTCCTGCTTTTCAGATTTTCCCCCTGAGACAAAACCCCCAGTAATCCCACATCAGTAGAGTTTCAGAAGAGCTCTCAACAGAGTCTCACATTGTTCTCAGATTTGCCTAGAAAGTCTATAAATATCAGTCTTCCCAAGATCAGAATCTGAAGTATGCTATCCACATAGATTTTATAGCTCTATGTGCCTAATTTATGCCAATATTTGATTCATTTCTGATTTTTAATTGAAGCATCTGAGACAAAGGTAATACTTAAAGGGATAGTTCACCCAAAAATGAAAATTCTGTCATTAATTACTCACCCTCACGTCATTCCAAACCCATAAGACCTTTGTTCATCTTTGGAACACAAATTAAGATATTTTTGATGAAATCCGAGAGCTTTCTTACCCTCCATAGACGGCAATGGAACTGACACATTCAAGGCCCAGAAAGATAGTAAGGACATAGTTAAAATAGTCCATGTTTTGTTTTTGTTTTTTTTACTTCTTGTTTTTCTGAATGTTGTTTTTATTGGAAAGCACTTTGTCCAACCTAAGTTGTTTTTAAATGTGCTATACAAATAAACAAAAAGAAGAATGTGACATCAGCGGTCAGAATGCAGGGTCAGGGTCAGAAAGCTCTCGAATTTCATCAAAAATATCTTAATTTGTAAAGGTCTTACAGGTTTGGAATGACATGAGGGTGAGTAATTAATGACAAAATTTTCATTTTTGTGTGAACTATTCCTTTATGAACCTGAGTTCATGAGCAATGAAAGACCAATGTTTGAGCAATGAATTGTTCCTCTGCAATATTTTTTATATAAGGGTAAGAAAAGGCTTGGCAACATTGAAATTGTGGGCGAATATGAATATATATTATTCACATGAGGTTTAGTGGGGCACTTCTTGCACCTCAAATTCAAAATATGTACAGTATTATTATTATTATTATCATCATCATTATTATGATTAATAAAAAATAATGTTTGTTTAATTTCTGTTCTGTGAAACAATTTTCCTAAAGAGAATCACAAGGGCCCCAGCTATACTTTGTTGTTGTCGTTGTTGTTAAATAATAGCAAATAATAGTTAATTATGTTTACTCATTATGTGTGTGGGGGGGCAGGTCATTATATATTTATGGTCATAACTTCTCACTATAAATAGCACATCTCACCTCTGCTGAAATGAATCCATGTGATGACATCAGCAGTGACATTATCCAGCAGGAGTGTGTGTGTGTGTGTGTCTGTGTGTGTGTGTGTGTGTGTGTCGTCTGGCTGCAGCAGTGGGCAACTCTCTCCTCAAGACATTTGCAGCCATAACCACATCTGTCAGCCTTTTTAAAGTATTCCATCAGATTCATAAAATAATATGTGTTTCCAGTTTGCATTAGATTTAAAGGGGTGGTTCACTGTTTTTTTTCTAGGTTTGATTGTGTTTATGGGGTGCAGTCTAACATTGCAGAACAGGGGACGCGAGGAACAGTATTAAGAACTGCTGCTTTAGAACATTGATTTTGAAACTTGTGAATCCATTAGAATCGTTAGAAGACAGAATCGCGATTCATATATGAATAGATTTTTAGGTGCACCTCTAGTTTTCTCTTCCTCTTCTCTAAAGCAGCACAGGCCTCGCCCCCTTTGCTGCCTTTTCCCGAGGGCGGGGTTTATCTGGGTTTGTTACGTCACAAACCCGGGAAGTAACTTGTTGTAGTCCCTACGAGACGTTTTTGTAGGCATTAAACTGCCAGAATTTTAAAAGAAGATATCTCCGTTTGCATTGAACGTTCAGCTTCGTAACTTTGCAGATATTGTTTATGCTCAAACGGCAACATTACACTAATTAACATTAAAAAGTGAAATCACAATCAACCACCCCTTTAAAACAGTATTTTGGCATGCTTGTGTCAGATGGTTCAACAAAATCATCTGCATTCAATAAATATTTTAAATCCCTTGATGTTTTTTCATCCAGGTCAGAGACGTGGTAAGAACTCTTCCTCTCGGATCAGTGATGTTTTATTCACTTGAGGTTTGATTGTTTGTCTGTCTGAAATTTGAGTTGTTAAACGGGTCATTTGGTTTTTCCACAGGGCTTCAGTGAAGTGCTTTATGCCACCCTGATGTTTGCTTTTGGGAGGAAGGACGTCATCATACCACACACAGTCTGAAATGTTTAGTGACACCCTGGACTGAATTTATAGCTGCTTTAATTATTTTACATTGAATAATAATGATTAGTATAATTTTCCAATCCTTTAAATATTATTGCATGTTCCTTTAAATATTAAAACCATGCACTAAGTGTTATACAATGTGCAAGGATCCTTTTGTCCTTTAGCCTGTTCTTGGAACAGTTTCAGAGAATTCTGGAATGTCCCAATGATGCCCAAAGCCCTTTTCCAGAGATTTTCTCAATATGTTGAACTTTCCTTGTCTTTACCCTCGATGAAACTTAATTATCTAAATGGGAACACAGTTACATTAAGTGGTTACATATGTGTTTTTCCAGGCCATAGATTGAGTAAAAGTGCTCTAAAGAGAGAGAAGAGGATTACAGTTCACACAAACGGACGGGATGGGTGCTCATGTCCTGAACTGGAATGTACTGGACTCCCTTGAGTTTCTGGAGATGATGTCATCATGTGTGCATGTAGTTTTGGCTCATGAATTTATTCTGTTTAGAATGGAGAGTTGCAACATATGCGGTTGATTATCCATTTGGCCAAGATATGGCATCTCTACTCTCCCCTACTTAAAACACCGATAATATACTGCATAACACAAAGGCATGCAGTTCAGTTAAATTACCTTAATGCCATGGTAACCAAACTTCCTGCCAAAACACAATACACTTACTACAAAAGTATAAAAAAGTCAAAACAGATATTAAATGACAGCAATATTCCTTCACTGTTAGCAGTATATATGTTTACAAAAGTGAATTGCAGCTACCACAAACAATAAACACACTACCGTTCAAAACTTTTTTGAAAAAAAAACAAACAAAAAAAAACCTCTTATGCTCAACAAGGCTACATTTATTTGATCAAAATACAGTAAAAATAGTATTATTGTAAAATATTATTGCAATTTAAAATATAATTTCCTACTTTGTGTTTTAAAATAGGCTATTATTTAGAATTATTATTATATATTATTATTATTTATCCTCTGATGACAAACGATAAAGATGAATTTTCAGCAGCTATTTCTACTCCGGTCTCAATGTACATTTAAAATTAACACGTAACAAATAACGCATTGAATTAAACATGAGATTTTAAAGTAAAAACAAAAGCTGATAGCCTATTTTCTTGTAAAACGTAGCCTACTCCGGTAGTCTTTATTTACAAACTCGAATTTTAGTGTAGTTATAAAATAACCAATGCTGTATGAACATATCACATAATTTTACACAGCCCATAGACTTAAAGTGCGTTAAAACGTATTTTAGACCAATCATATTACACCCACCAAGCGTTATCACCTTTGAATGAAACGCAGCCACAGACCCAATAGTATCCAGCTGCAGACCCGCAGCACCAGCATAACTGTATAGGTCTACAACTAAATTACACAAGATGTATATAATGTTTATAAAATGCTTAATATGTCATTATAAAATGCATACATAAAGTATGACGTATGGTGTGTAATAAAAGCAAATTACCCCTTAAAAACCATAAGGTGGCGCTACTCTTTTAAAAAATGTAAGCTCCGCCCCTCACTTCCGGTTCTGTGGTTGCGTGTCTGCAGCTGGATATATCTCCCACAGACTGACGGATTGGTTGGGACTTTTATTTGTCGAAGCAGCAGCTCCGGGTCACAGGTGTTTGGATTGTGAAGATGGCGGCGCCCTGTGAGCTGTTCTGCTGGAAGGCTGGTTTGGGTTTACCGTCAGTAAATACGGACTGTCTCATCGTGCTGGTGAGTTTTCACCTCTGGCTCGTGTAGTCTGGAAGTAAATACTATATATATATATATATATATATATAATCCACTCTCATCCATCCCTTCTCCAAACCACTTATCTTCTCTAGGGTCACGGGGAGTCATCTATTTTTCAGAATAATAATCTGCAGATTTCTGGCCCCAGCTACTATTTTTAGTTAAATAAAGGAGATGGTCCTCACTGCAGAACACAAGATCCGCTCCGGGTCACAGGTGTTTGGATTCTAAAGATGGCGGCACCCAGTGAGCTGTTTTGCTGGAAGGCTGGTTTGGGTTTACCGTCAGTAAATACGGACTGTCTCATCGTGCTGGTGAGTTTTCATCACTGGCTCGTGTAGTCTGGATGTTTATACGGGTTGGGTTCTGTTTAAGTTTCCGTCTTTGTGTAGAGAATCGCCTCGGTATCGATCACTTAGTAAAGAACAGTGGTGGTGCGATATGGTACAGTGATATCACATAGTCATACCATAGCTTTTAACGTGGCATATATATTTATAGTAACAATAATAGTATATATTTATACCAGGATTTTTATTTGATTACATTTTTACCAAATTTGTATTCTTTGCGTGATACTAAAATACAATGTACTTGTATAGTTTTGTGTGAGTAGA